CTTGTAAAAATGCATACTGGGTTCATCTCCGGAACGGAGCGTTGTTTACGCTTTTCTGTAATACTTTTGCAAGGTTTTCTATTATGCAACTAGCGATACTTTCAGGCTGAAATCGCTAACTCGGTGCCATCAGTGGCAAATCAATCCTGTATGATCCCTTCATTTGCTCTGATCCCAAAATTTGGTGTTGATATATGCCAGGGAGTCAGAACCGCCATGACGTTGCTTCTAACAAATCCTTGGAAAGCAAATTCACTAACATCCTTACCAGTAAATGGTTGCTAAAAACACTGTACTATCACCTAGGCTTACATTCAAGCACTCTCACTTCCCATTCAAGGTGAAATGCAAAAAGAAGGAGGAATGGTTTTTGAGTAATTTTGCTGCACAGAAGTCATTCCGAACATACATCGTTTCGTATTGGTATGAAGTCGTAATATCTTGAAGCGCAGTTAGTTTTAGTTCCGTTGATGACAACCCAGCATGTTCCTGTTGATGTACAGTTCTTTGATGCTAGGTATTCCGGATATCGCGTTGAGCAAAAATCTTCCACTGTCGGTTTTCGGTCTGGAATTTTTTAAATTCTCAAAAAATAGCAAGCCTAACGCAAGTTATTTTTCTCCTTTGTTGACTATCTCTTGCACAGTTCTCTGCGTTGATGCTGTTTTCCTCAACCCTGCTCAACTAATTTTGATGGGTTTTTACTGCTAAAATAAAAACCTGATTCATAGCACAACCAGCCGTCCATTTCTTCCCACGCTGTACATTTCAATGATCACTAACACGACTATTAAGATCCCTTGGATAATCGGCTCGGACAGCCTATGTAGAGGCGTTACTGGGAAGCTCCACACACCAATAACTGCAGCTTTGCCAAACCTTTCTACCATGAGAAAATATTTTGAAACATTATCATGAGGGTAGCAAGTTCAAAATTTGTCTTATCGCCCGATTCCCGATGCTTTTGAGCATGTGGAATTTGAACAGTTATTCCATTTAAACTAAATCCGCGGGGATGGCTCACTAATCCTAAAATACCTTTCCTTGCTTATTTATGTTGCTCGCACTTATTCTGTAGCTCTAGTAGCTACTCCAGTTGCTACTCCTGTTTTCACGTTTCAGTGAAATTCTCGCTGCTATCGTGCTATAAATATTCTCACCCGTTGCCACCAAAAGTAATGTTTGATTTAAATTATCAAAGAATGAGTGATTTTCGAATTTTGGTGATAGTAGAAACTAACCGGCAAATGTCATAAACAACAAGTTGCAGACTTGAGTGAGGACCATAATGAAGTAAACGAGGGTCAGGAAGGCCACATACTTCCGACACGACTGCAGATCAGATAGCTTGAAAGTACTGGTCGACTCGGTTGTTTTCGCAAACCCATCAGCTGGGCGCACTCCACGAATCATTTTTCCTAAATCAAATTTAGTGAACCTTGTGTCTGGAGAAAGCGGAGCGCTGCTGACCCAGTATTTGTACAAACCAGAAATAATAAAGACTGATGCCTCTAAGCATGCAACTTACGCCTGCTAGAAGTCAGGGAAGAATAGCTGTCAAGCAGTTCACTGAAACCAGTGCTGTATTCAGGAATTTACAAGCAGGTGAAGAGAGAGTTGAAGAAATTCTGGCAATTACGAGAACAGTTCAAAAATATTTAAAACATATTTCTCATGACTGTTGAAAAGCACTTCAGTAATAATAATTGGCCAACGCACGGGCTGCGAAAATGCGTTTTTTGCATAGTTCCCCGCAGTTTTTGCTGCTACCGGCAACGGTTTTTTCGGCAAATGCTTCTAGCTAAACAAACTAAGACTGGCCGCCAGAACTGTCAGGAAACA